GGGGGGGCACAGAGGCAGCAGGAAGCAGCTTGTTTTAAAAAAACGAACAAAAAAAAAGGTTTTTATTGCGCTTGGGACTTTGGTTATAAGGAAACGGAAGTTGTAGGGCTCTGTCCAGCTCCCACAGCAAGCACGAGAGCCAGACCGCCCGTGTCTTGGGGTGGGGGAGATGGAGATGCTCAGTCCCCCGGCCATGAGACAAGGGGTCCCCCAGCACCCAGGGGCAGCCGGGGATGGTCGATATGTCCCGCGTGGGAATGCTAAAGCACTTAGGGAGTGTGTTTATGGCTTATAGGTCAGCTCAGCTTGTCTCTGTCATCTGGGTTTTTCCAACCTTTCTTCCTCCCGCTCCATTGTACAGCCCCGGCATGGTTTCCCATCAGAGAGGAGCACTGGGAAATTATTTTGGGCTCAATCCATCCCGGACGGGGTCAGAGCCAGAGCAGTACGACTCGGTGGGTCCAGCCCAGCCAAGCGTGTTGGACCACAGGCTTCAGCGGTGAAAGGGAAGGGGGGGGTGGAAATTCAGCTGCATCACATCTGGGAGAGGCACTGAGGGTGGCAGAGCCCAGTCCTGCAAGGTGCAGGCACCCTGGGTGCTCCTAGCACCCAGCCAGCAGGAGTCCTGGCTGCTCCTGCAGGTATGAAGCCTAGGGAAAAGCTTCTCCTCCACAAAACTGGCCTGATCCAAGCCCGTGGCCCCATCCAACGTGTCCTACTGTACCCATCCTGCTTATGAAGCTCATCACATCTCTGTCCCCTAGAGCCACGTGCCCTGGGACCCCATGCCCAGGCTGTTCCCCTACTCTCAGACTTGTCCTTCTGCTCCTGGTGCTCCAATGTGAGGTTGGTGGTGGGAAGGATGCTCCTGGCCAAGGGCCCGGGTGCTGGTCACGGCAGGGATGTCATATTTGGTGCCACAGGACTGATGGGATCCTCTTTGTGAGAGATCCCCTCCCTGGTGGCGGCTGGCTGGTGGTGGGCTCTGGGGATGGGTGATGATCATTCAGTTGAGTGTAGACTTTAATCCTGCAGCCCCACTGCAGTCTCAGGAGGAAGATAAGTCAGGAGGTGGCAGGTTTGGACGCCTAGAAAGTGGCAGCAGGGTGAGGATCTGCTCTACATAGAATCATGGAATGATTTGGGTTGGAAGGGACCCTAAAGATTGTCTAGTTCCAACCCCCTGCCATGGGCAGGGACACCTTCTACTAGCCCAGGTTGCTCAAAGCCTCATCCAGCCTGGCCTTGGCATCACCCAAGCTTGTCTGAAGATCTCAACTAACGGAGCCCAGCCTTGACCCCCATCTAAGGGGGGGCTGACCTACCAGCCCTGGGCCTGAGTCTTGGCCCCCTTTGACTCCTGACCGCCCACAGTTCCCAGAAGCTCAGCAAAGGCATGGCACTACGTGAAGATAAATGCTACAGAAAGAGGGGGAACCCCCCTGAGGAACCCTTTCCTCCTCCCTTTAACAGCAGAGCGCGATGCCCAAAGCCAGCAGGAGGGTCCCCAGGGGGACCTGGGGCACCGCTCCTCCAGCCCTGCTCTTTGACTCCCTTGGCATGTGGTAAACGATCACCAGCTTCTCTCCGGCACTGGAGGGATCCATTTCATCCCCCTTGTAGCAGCTCCGACCCCCAAGGTGGCTAGCTTGGGGGTCATCTCGGAGCAGGTCTTCAGCTGGATTCTCCGACCCAGCCAAGGCCACGTTGACCGAGACGTCCCGTGTGCCCACATCGTTGACGGCGAGGCAGGTGTAGATGCCTTCATCCTCCTTGCTGAAGTTGGGGATGGCCATGGTGCCGTTCTTGAAGACCAAGAAGCGCTCTCTGCTCTGCTTGACATTCCCATCCCGCGCCACGTTGGGCCCATTGATCTCCACGCGGCGGCTGGAGGTCTGGATCCTCCACCTGATCTCCGGTGGAGGGCTGCCTGCCACACTGCAGTGCAGGGTCAGGGTGAGCCCATCGTACATGACGGTGTTGTCCAGGTTGGAGAGGTAAGTGAGCTGCACGGAAGGGGCAACGCAGTAGTGGTCGGGGATGTCTGTCACTGCCCTGCCCTTCAGCCTGCCGGGAGCCACGCAGAGGGTAGACCCCCCCTTGGTGATGGAGACTGAGGTGTTCTCAGTCCACTTCTTCAGCCAGAAGACCTTGCAGGAGCAGTTGAAGGGGTTGTTGAAGATCTGCAGCTGGGACAGGGAAGGCAGGTTGTCAAAGGTGCCCTCGGCCAGGGTGGTCAACTCGTTGTCGTTGAGCCAGAGGGACCTCAGGTCCTTCAAGGAGCGGAAAGCATCCCGGGGCAGCCCAGCCAGGCGGTTGTTGTTCATCTTCAGGATCTGCAGCCCACTGAGGTTACGGAGGTCTTGCCAGGGGAAATCTGCGATCTTGTTGTGGCTCAGGTCCAGGTTCTTCAGGTGCACCAACAAGGCGAAAGCCCCCGGCTCCACCACCCCGATCTGATTGTAGCCCAACCACAGCGACTGCACTTCGGGAACCTCGGCAAAGGAGCCCTGCCCCAACCAACCGATCCTGTTGGCCGACAAGGTGAGGATGGTCACGTTGGAGGACAAGCCCTTGGGTACATCCTGGAGATCCTTGTAGGCACACTCAGCCAACAGCCGCCCGTTCTTCTTGACGGAGCAGGAGCAGGCACTGGGACATTGTAGCCCAACCACAGCGACTGCACTTCGGGAACCTCGGCAAAGGAGCCCTGCCCCAACCAACCGATCCTGTTGGCCGACAAGGTGAGGATGGTCACGTTGGAGGACAAGCCCTTGGGTACATCCTGGAGATCCTTGTAGGCACACTCAGCCAACAGCCGCCCGTTCTTCTTGACGGAGCAGGAGCAGGCACTGGGACAGGCCAGGCAGGGCCCCAGGAGAGCAGCCAGCCCCAGGCAGCAGAGCAGGGGCCTCATCCTTCCTCCCTG